TTAGGAGTATTGTTGGATGCTCCTCAGAAAACGCTTAAACCTAGTCATAATCCTGCTTACATTGATCCCAATTTATTATTACAGTTGGTCCAATTTTTTACATATTTAATAATATATAAGCCATTTAATATATAAACCTATACATATTATTATATAAACCAATCTTCCTAGCTTAGATGTTATGCTCTAGTTTTTAAGGTTTGGTTGTGAGGATAAAAATCAAAACAAAAAACCAAGTTCCCTTTTTTGAGATACGGTCTCACTGTTGCCCAGGCTGGAGTACAGTGGCATGATCATGGCTCACTGCAGCCTCAACCTCCTGGGCTCAAGTGATCCTTCCACCTACGCCTCTCAAGTAGCTGAGCCTACAGCGTGCACCACCATGCCCAGCTAATTTTTTGTATTTTTGTAGAACGGAGTTTTGCCATGTTGCCCCAGTCTGGTCTCCAACTCGTGGGCTCAAGCAATCTGCCTGCCTCGGCCTCCCAAAGTGCTGAGATTACAGGCATGAGCCACCCTGTCCAGCCAAGTTCCCTTCTTTAAGGAAGCTATAGAGAAATTGTAGAAGGTATAAAATAATTGATGGGATTTATATGTGTTAATTTTGACAGATGTCTTTTTGTAGATACCCACTTTCTCCTCATTCATTATCCGCTTTACTGCATGCTTTCGATATTACAACTATGTCACTCTCATATATACTTTTGTATATGTTTTGAAGTGGAATCATATGGGAAGTTAGGCTCCTGGTATTTTCCTGCAAGTGTTAAATCTAATTTTACTGTCCTGAACAAGCAAAAGCCTCTTTATAGGCAACTTTGTCCTTTTCTGCACCTCGTCAGAGGGCATATAGGGCACTAGAGCAGATTTGGTCTAGGAAGAGGGGAGAGGCAAATAAGGGGAAGGGCCAGGCACGGTGGCTTATGACTGTAATCCCAGCATTTTGGGAGGCTAAGGAGGGAGGATCGCTTGAGCTCAGGTGTTTGAAATCAGCCTGGGCAACGTGGTGAAACCCTCTCTCAATAAAAAATACAAAAATTAGCAGGGCATGGTGGTGTGCACCTGTAGTCCCAGCTACTCTGGAGGCTGAGGTGGAGGATTGTTTGAGCCTGGGAGGTGGAGGAGGCTGTAGTGAGCTGTGATTGTACCACTATACTCTAGCCTGGGCAACAGAGCAAAACCCTGTCTCAGTCAGTCAGTCACTCAATCAGTAGTGGAAGAAGAGACTGGAGCAGTTTTACTTCCTACATTTCACGCTGTTCATTTCTTTCCACAGGGTATTAGAATATTTCCAAGGGGCAGTGATAAAGGGCAGAAGATGAGCACTCTCTTTGGGTGGAATATTTTGTATTTGCTTCTTTTAAGGTGTGCCCCAAGTCCCCAAATGAGTCAGTTTTCACCAAAGCAAGTGTAACGACTCATCCCTCATGTTCCCTTCCCGATCAACAGATTTATTCGTTTTCAATCTCCAAATGCTATTTCAATGGGCAAATATATCTTAAAGGACCTGGGAAAAATTTGTACAACATAGACTTGGGCTGGTTTGTGTTCTGGGTTTTGGCCATTTGTTTTTAATGTATGAGAACTCTAGTACTCCATGCTATTTCAAGAAAAGGGGATTAAAAGTAATGGCAGTAAGGTGGAGACAATGCATTGCTTGGTCAGCTTAGGGAGGAAAAACAATAGAACTACCCTTTGACTTCCCTATGGGAAGTAGAAGGCCTATAAACTTGTAAAGAGTTGGTGGGGGTTGATGGTGGTGGTGGCATTCAGATGCTAGGCTTGTAAAACAACTTCTGTTCAAAACAGTTACCTGAGGCCCTTATTTGGTACCTTTTAAAATGTACTCTTCTCCTTATGATGCTTTAAGAATAAGTCTGGGACTGACACTGTGCCATAATCCGCTCTCTGGATTTATCTTTTCATTCAATACCATATTACATTGTACTGTGTTGTTCTTCACTTCAACTTTTCATCTGTTTTTCCTGGTTAAGTTTCTCTGGCACTGGACAAACTGCTCTGTTTGAGCATGTCCCTTCCCTGCAATTAATTGGTAAATATTGCTGTAGGAAATCTGATTGGAGGGCTATTAAGAAACCATTAAAGGTCAGGCATGGTGGCTCACACCTGTAATCTTAGCACTTTGGGAGGCCGAGACAAGAGGATCACCGAAGTCCAGGAGTTGGAGACCAGCCTGGGCAACATGGGGAGACCCCGTCTCTACAAAAAATTAAAAAATTATCCAGGCATGGTGGCCCATGCCTGTGTTCCCAGCTACTCGGGAGGCTGATGTGGGAAGGTCGCTTAAGCCCTAGAGTTCGAGGCTGCAGTGAGCTGTGATCACGCCACTGCACTCCAGCCTGAGTGACAGAGCAAGACCTTGTCTCAAAGAAAAAAAATTCCGTTAAAATTCAAATTGCCATAGTCTGACCTTTTGGGCTGCATCTGATTATAGTTACAGGGTCTGTCATTTTGCCTGGGTAGAACTCCCTGAGTATTAGTCATATAGTTTGTGAAAGAACTTTGCTGGTCTGTATTTAAGTATCTTAGTCCATGTGCTCTCTTTCATTGCAGACGAACAGGAGGCATTGAACTCAATCATGAACGATCTGGTGGCCCTCCAGATGAACCGACGTCACCGGATGCCTGGATATGAGACCATGAAGAACAAAGACACAGGTCACTCAAATAGGCAGGTGTGTGTGACCCTGGCAGAGCTAAATGAGATTTGTTGGGGACGGGTTTTCAAATGGGAAATATATGAAAAGCCAAGGAGACTACATTACCAGGGTTGAATACTTTTGACCCCTTCCTTTCACAGTCTGTTAAATGGGAAGTAATACATACCAACCAGGTATGGTTAAATGGTAAGTGATATTGGGAGGCCGAGGCAGGCAGATCACCTGAGGTCAAGAGTTTGAGACCAGCCTGGCCAACATGGTGAAACCCCGTCTCTACTAAAAATACAAAATTAGCCAGGTGTGGTGGTGCATGCCTGTAGGCCCAGCTAATCAGGAGGCTGAGACAGGAGAATTGCTTGAACCTGGGAGGCAAAGGCTTCAGTGAGCCGAGATGGCACCACTGCACTCCAGCCTGGGCAAGAGAGCAAAACTCTGTCTCGAAAAAAAAAAAAAAAAGCCATGCAGTTATGGATCTGTGATTTGGAATCTTAAAGCCTTCTGTAAGCATTTCATCTGTTATGGGGACAGTATTCATGTACGTTTTTCCCCTTTAGTGATATTTGGCAAATATTTAATTCAGATTCATGATCCCTAAGTCAGAAGGTTTTTAGCTACCTTACAGTATATAATCAGGAAAAACTATTTAATTTGGTATTAGCTTATGTAAAATATAATTAAGAAGGTAAATTTATTAATTAAAATGTCACATAGTATATTCTAAAGGCAATAATGAGTGATTTTGTTATTACTGTTTGCTTTACCTTATTAACCCAGGTAGTTGATAGTGCCTGTTTTATTGAGAGTTGTATGCTTCCTTAGGAAAACATTGCCTATTTTTCTTAACATTTAAACTTGTGTGTCATTGAGAATCTTCTTCTCACCTGTAGTGCCACTTACCTGTTTCCTGGGTACTTTGGCCTGCAGAGAGGAGTGAATGATGGGGAGCTTTCCTTCCTAGTCGGTATCTAATGCTACATCAGCTATATTGGGCATATTTGATGAAAATTTGTCTATGGCATTCTCCCTTGTGGTTCTGTTTATCAGCTAACCTCTTTTCTTCTCATTTGCATCTTGTTTACCAATTCTTCAGAATTGGTTCCTAGAGATAGTATAAGGCCCTAGAACTTTTCCTGTCTGTGGTCTGCTAGATAGAGCCTTCCAGAGTATTTCCTGCCTTTTGGAATCCTAGGGACCCCAAGGGAAGAGGAGTCCTTTTGTTTCATGTTAAAACAGAAGGATTAGTTTAAAAAGCTGCTTTTGTTGTTGTTACCTTACAGTACTGGAGGTATATAAACAGATAAGGGCCCATTCTTACACTGTTTTCAGATGTTATTCTGTCTGACTGTTTTGAGTTCTCCCTTGCTATAACTCATTTGTATTCAAAGCCACTTTTGGAAGGAGCATTTTACCAGAAGTGAGTCCCCTCCCCCATGCTTGAGCCTAATGACCTCACTTTCCTTCCTGTCTTCCTATGTAGAGTGTGCTTGGTAACATTGCTCCAGTTAGCTGATCTTTCTCCACACTGGACTATTGGCATGAGTATCAGTTAGTGGGTAAAAAGGGGAAGCTTTCTTGAATTGGAAGGCCCAAAAGGTCCAGGCTGGGAAAAGGAGGGGTGGAATGGTTACTGATAGTTCCTTGAAGGAGGATTCCTTTTAGGACTCCTTCTGCTTAGAGCCTAAAAGCTGTGATGAGGGAAGTCTTGATCTTTTGCTGTGCCTGCTGCTGTACTGTTAGAGTGAAGTCAGTGGTTATGAAGGCAGAAGACTGTAAAAAGGATTGACTATTTTTTAGGAAGTAATCTTTTTTTTTTTTTTTTGAGACGGAGTCTGGCTCTGTCGCCCAGGCTAGAGTGCAGTGGCCGGATCTTAGCTCGCTGCAAGCTCCACCTCCTGGGTTCACGCCATTCTCCTGCCTCAGCCTCCCAAGTAGCTGGGACTACAGGCGCCCGCCACCTCGCCTGGCTAGTTTTTTGTATTTTTTAGTAGAGACGGGGTTTCACCATGTTAGCCAGGATGGTCTCGATCTCCTGACCTAGTGATCCGCCCATCTCAGCCTCCCAAAGTGCTGGGATTACAGGCGTGAGCCACCGTGCCCGGCCAGGAAGTAATCTTGACAAGAAGTACTAGATCTTTGGATCCATGATTTACTTCAATGTTGTCAAACTTATGTTGCACGAAGGAAACAAATTATTAACCTCAGTGTTTTTGTTTTTAAAGAAAAAACACAACAGCAGCAGCTCAGCCCTTCTGAACAGCCCCACAGTAACAACAAGCTCATGTGCAGGGGCCAGTGAGAAAAAGAAATTTTTGGTAAGGATCCAGATTACCTGTTAAAGCCAAAATGTACTTTTAAGTCTGCTATTCATGCTGCAACAGCGGAATTCACTTCCCGAACAAGTTGTTTGTAAAAAGTATTGGTTACCCGTGACCTGTGTTCAGTGCTTCTAGTCACCATTTCTCACAACAGTATTATTGATAAGCAGCCTCTATCAGTGCTGTCCAATAAACTTTCTGTGATGACAGACATGTTTTATATCTGTGCTGTCCAATGTGGTATTGTAGCCACTAGCCACATGTGTCTGTTGAGCAACTAAGGAACTATATTTTAAATTTTATGTAATTTTAATTAATTTAGACAGCCACTTGTGGCTGGTGGCTATTGTATTGGACAGCACAACTTTAGGTACTATGTAAGGGACTCTTGATTTATTGGGCAAGAAATTATGTATATGCTTGGAGATGTGTAGAGATTCGTTAGTATGTTCATTCCTTACACACGTCATGAGTTTCTATACATTGCGATAAGCTAATAATGGGAATGCTATCTAAGATTCTGTTTTAGGAAGAATGTGAAGATGTGGAACTAGTATGGCTGTTTAGAAATTGAAGCTCAAAGTTTTATGTTAATATGGGCAAAAGGGGAAATAAAATGCTAAGATAGCTTTTCCTCTTAATGAAGTCAAGGTTATAGAATGGCCTGTCCTGGGAAGCGTAGCAGATGTTTCACTTCTGACCAAGAGGGATATTCTTCAGCAAAATTCTGAAAGCAGAAAAAGCCAAAGTCTCAGCAAATGCATCTCTAGGAAAGACGGGGTAAGAGGCAGTGCGGGGAAGATGTGGGGGAGAGGTATTTATAGCCTAATATAATGAAAGGAGCCTGGTGATATTAATTATTATTTAACATAGGACTTTATAATTCACAGAGTTACACATTTATTATTATTATCATAGTTTTTGTTAGCCTTGGCCTGAGACAGAATGAAACAGTTTTCTTCATTACCAGTTCTTCTACCAGAAAGTCCATGCTTAGGAAGAGAGAGGAATGAAAGATCAAAACCTAATTTAAATGGTAAAGAGTTGCCAAATTTGGTTAAGAAATGTCTAATTGGATTACAGATTCAAATTGCAGAATCCTAGTTGAAAGAAACTAAGCATTTTGGCTAGCTGAAAAGGTTGTTTATTCAAGGGTGGAATGGTGCTGGCAGAGGCTAACAGCCTTTCACTATGAGAATGGCAGTGCTGGCTACAAGACAGAGTTGAGACTGGCACAGCTTCATGGGGCTCAAGCTTGGCCCAGCAAGGAAAGCCAGAGGAGTTGTGGGTTCATTAACAGGATTATTTGGGGGCTGAGGCCTGGAAGAACTGAAAAATCTAATTTAATATCTCTGCTTGGCAAGACTTGAGACATCCCCTTCCCTAAGTAAACAAGCTTGGTAAGTAATTGAAAAAGAGAATGGATTTGAGAACAAATAGGCAGCTATGGAAGTACGTGGGCAATGAGCTATTAACTATTTTCTAGGAGGTAGATTCTGTATTCTCTGTATTCTAGGAGTACAGAGAATACTGTACACTAGGAGCATTCTCTGTATTCTCCCTTTTGTATATTGGGTCTCTGGAAGCCTACAGCATGGTTAGAGCTGACTGAATATTCTTAGATGTGTGGCACATCCTACGTGTGGCTGGGTCCTATGGATAGTTTTGCAGGCCATGATGTGCAGTGTCCCTTTAGCAGTCATTGACACACAGTGCGTTATCAATAGGTGTTAGTTCTCTATGGGTCTGACAACTTAGTATAGTGAAAAGAGTGCTGGCCTGTGACTGAACATGCTGGAGAAGAGCTTGTCTGGCCACAGGGACACAGCCGTGCAGATCCAGCATGTGTCTCCCATGCGCCAAGTGGAACCCGCAGCCAAGAAGGCAGCCGCACTAGCAGAGGGTGACGAGGACAATGACATTGACCTATTTGGCAGCGACAATGAGGAGGAAGACAAGGAGGCATTCCGGCTGTGGGAGAAGTGGCTGCGGTGGTATGTGGAAAAGAAGGCCAAGAAGCCTGCGTTAGTGGCCAAGTCTTCCATCCTGCTGGATGTCAAGCCTTGGGACAATGAGACCAACATAGCCCAATTGGAGGCCTGTATGCGCTTCATCCAGCTGGACGGGCTGGTCTGGGGGGGCCTCCAAGCTGATGCCCATGGGCTTTGGTATCCGGAAGCTGCAGATTCAGTGTGTGGTGGAGGATGACAAGGTAGGGACAAACTTTCTGGAAGAGGAGATTACCAAGTTTGAGAGCATGTGTAGAGTGTCAACATTGCAGCTTTCAACAAGATCTGAAGCCTTAGTGTGTGTGTGTGTGTGTGTGTATGCGTGCACACGTGCAAGTGCGTGAGGTCCTGCCACGATTAAAAACTGAGACCAACCAAAAAAAAAAAAAAAAAGAATGCTGGCCTAGGAGTCATAGAGTTGTTACTCATGTATGAACGCAGGGTTTTATAATTTATAGAGTGCTTTCAACAACAGTTAACAACAACACTATAAGCATGTGTATAAGGTTTACACAGCTTTTACACAAAGGTATTGAGTAGAGGCAGAAAGTAAATCCCAAGTCTTCTGATTCCTAGTCACAGTAATTTTATTGTGTATAAGTCATATAACCTTTCTGAAGTGAGTTTTTCCATCTGAAATATAGACTTAATACTTACAGTGTCTACCTCTTAAGATTGTTGTAAGATCATAGACAGAATGTGAAATATTTTGTACATTGTAAAACAAATGTACAAATGTAAAGTTGTAGTGGTTATGTCACTTCTTATGTTTTGGCACTGCAGGTATGAGCTTTGGGGAAAGCTTCTAACTAGAACTGTCCATAGTGTTGTGGAACTGAAAGGATTAAGGTTTTTCTATCTTTATGGGATTATCATTACTGTTTATCTGATGATCTTTGCAAATTTCTGAAGCTAGCCTAATTTCTGAAAATCCCAGTGGAGGAAGAAATGGAATCCTTATTTCCATGGATTCCTGTTTCCCTTGAATCTTATCAAAAGGGTAAGTAGATACTTGAATAGAGGCTGGGTTCTGGATCTAACCCTCCAGATGTTCATGAGTGGGTGCTTTAGAACAGAAAAGCTGCTTTCTTCATGATAGGTACAAGCAGGGCAGGGCCTTGGCTATCATTTCTAGAGGAAGAGAATTCTAGGAGCTGTTCCCCCAGCAGGGTCAATGATTGAGCAGACTGTCTTTTGCTTTCAGTGTGAAAGACCTGGCTCTTTAACACCTCCTTTCTCTTTCAAGGGTTGTTGATAAGATGGGCTGGCTAGTTTGAAAATAAGATATAAAGCAACACACAAGCCTGGCATTATAGTTGCTTTATAATCATCTCTTCCACTGATCTCCTACAACTTTCCTGAGTCATGCTTAAAAATAAAATTTTAATTTTTGTTCTGTTTTTTTTTTCCTTTCATTCACTTACTCTCTTTGGCAAAATAAGGACTGCAATTCCAGAAATGTGGGGAGGCATTAAAGGTATGTAGCAAATGCAGGGAGAGAAATCAGTACAGAATCAGAGCGAGGATAAGAATGATGGCTAACTGAGGCCTTTTTCAGGTCAAATTATTTCATAAATGTTTGGTTAAAATTCCTGATTTTTCTGGATTCTTGAAAGCTTTTTGGGCTACATGTTCACCTGTTGAGTCCAGACTGTGAAAAGGTCATTTCTGCTTTAGTATTCTTGTCAGTTATTCCTATTGTTCCTGCTGAGTTCCTGAATCTGTAGCTCAACCTGGCGGCCTGCACTGTCTCTCTCCTGAGCGTGGCTCTCACTGCTGCTCTCACCGGATTGCCTGTGGTGGGCAGGGGACATGAAGCTGCTTAGACCTGAATTTCTGTACTAGAACTTTTTTTTTCAGTAGCTGACACCCTCCATTCAGTTTAACATGTACTTATGGTCAGGCTTCTCAGACACACAAAAGAAATGTATGTTGGCTGGGAGTGGTGGCTCACGCCTGTAACCCCAGCACTTTGGGAGGCCGAGGTGGGCAGATCACCTGGCCTGGCCAACATGGTGAAAACCCTGTCTCTACAAAAAGACAAAAATTAGCTGAGCATGATGGCAGGTGCCTGTAATCCCAGCTACTTGGGAGGCTCAGCTGGGAGAATCGCTTGTACTTGGGAGGCGGAGGTTGTAGTGAGCCGAGATCGCGCCACTGCTCTCCAGCCTGGGCGACAGAGCAAGACCCCATCTCAAAAAAAAAAAAAAGAAAGAAAAAAGGTATGTCATATTCGTTGTACCCCAGGAATCATGCAGTCTTACTGGGAAGTGAGGACTACATGAAAGAAAGAAATAAAGTATGATGTAACTGTGCCTCACTGTGTGGTACAGAGAGTAAGTGCTATAGAAGGCCAGGAAAGTGAAAGATGAGCTTGGGCCAAAAGAGCTATGGAGTCATTTCAGGTGGAAAGGCACTTCAACTAGGCTGTGAAGGAAGTATAAACAGTTAGGTGGAACGGAGGAAGGGTGGCACTCCAAGTCAGGAAACAGAATGATTAAAGACCTTGGGGAAGAAGCAAACATGGCATGTATCAGGAAACAAGGTGAGCATTGATCTGGCTTGAAAGGGGGATTCCTGTGGGGAACAAACAGTGTGAGATGTTCAGGTAAGCTGAGTGAACCTAAATCCCAGAGGGCTTTGAGTGATATCAGAGAATTTAGACTTTATTCCATAGATAGTGGGTATCACTGATTACCTTATGAACAAAGAGGGAATATGGTGAAAAAGGTGATTGAGATGGTTGGAACTGTAGAGGAACGCAGAGTGGGTTGGAAATGGGGAGCTGAAATGTATAAAGGTGGCTTTAGGACTCGGATCAAGGGGAAAGGGTCTCACTGAAGGTGATATCAGTGAGAATGGGAAGCAGAGTCTTATACTGGAGGCCTTTGAGAGGAGAATTGGAATTTGCTCCCTGGCTGTGAGGGGGAAAAGGAAGGAAAGAATCAAGTATTACTCAGAGGTGTGAACCTGTATAACCAGGAGCACAGCAGTACCAATGTTAGAAATAGTGACACTGAGCCAGGCATGGTGACATGCACCTGTAGTCCCAGCTACTTGGGAGGCTGAGGCAGGAGGATCACTTGAGCCCAGGAGCTCAAATCTGTAGCACACAATGATTGTGCCTGTGAATAGCTACTGCCCTCTAGCCTGGACAACATAACGAGACTCCATCTCTGAAAAGAAAGTAATAGTTGAGAAGGGAGACTAGTTCAGGAGAGTAATTGATGTAGATACATATGGCTAGATTAAGTTTGAGATTACAGTGGGAAAAAAACCTCAAGAGTGTGTGAGGTATGTGTATATGTGTATGTTGATTTTTGCAGGTCCATAATCTGTTATCTGCAGTTCTGAGATCCAAACATTACTACAAACTAAACGGGCATTTTTAGTTTCTGGTTTCTATTTATTATTTTTTAATTTGTAGCAGACTCATTTGGCAACCAGACCTGTCCTGAGTAGACACAGGGCAATTTATAGTCTTTCTTTATTCTACTTATTGTGAGTATTCATACTTTTCATTGCAAAAATTAGGATAGCTTGGATAAAAAGCATGTACTCTGTTAACAGATAGTCTCCAAATCTCAGTGACTTAACACAGTATGCCCAATACAAGGAAGGGGAGAACAGTGTTGCCCAGAGTCACTTAGCAACTTGGATTGAGGGAGACTCCTCTGTCCTAGGACATGTGCCTGCCAGGGAAGAGAGTATAGAACTTGATTCTATCCCTGGCTCTTGGTCAGAACTAGGGACAAAACCCCCAAACTAACTTTTAAGAGGTGCAGGAAATACTTGAGCATTCTGCCTTTACCATAGGAGTACTGTCTCAGCCACCCTCCACTCCACTCCCTGGGGAGACATCACGTGATTTATAGAACATGTACCATACTACCCCTCTAAATCCAAAATATGCATTCTGAAACACTTTTGGCCCCAAGAATTTTGGCTAAAGGATAATGGACCTGTATTATCATTTACCAACCACTTGTATATGAGGTACTGTTCTAATCACTTTACCCAATTATATGATTTAATTATTTTGATAATTCTGTGAGTTGGATACTATCATTCTCACTTTACAGATGAGGAAACTAGGTCATAGGTTTCCCTGATACGGAGTCTTGCTCTGTCACCCAGGCTGGAGTGCAGTGGCGTGATCTCAGCTCACTGCAACCTCCACTTCCTGGGCTCAAGCAATTCTCCTGCCTCAGCCTCCCGAGTAGCTGGGATTATAGGTGCCCATCACCACACCCGGCTAATTTTTGTATTTTTAGTAGAGACGGGGTTTCACCATGTTGGCCAGGCTGGTCTCGAACTCCTAACCTTGTGATCTGCCCTCAGCCTCACAAAGTGCTGGGATTACAAGGCAACCTCGCCCGGCCTAGTGCAATTAGGTTTAATGGCAAAAACTGCAATTACTTTTGCACCAACCTAAGTTTGAGGTTACACAGCTAGGAAGTTGTAGAGCCAAGATTTGAAGCAGGCAGTTGGACTCCAGTGCTACATTCTTAACAACTACATATTGGCCTCAGATACGTGGCAAGCAGATGAGCCTTGCTTCAGAGATTGGGGCTAGATACAGAGATTGAGGAATCTTCTATTTAGAGGCCCACTGACAAGTTGTGTGCAGAGCAGGAGAAAGCCAAAAGTCAGAAGTCGCAAGGTTGAGGAATGGTCACATGTTTGGGGAGGGGTGGGAGAGGGCATGAACAAGAGGAACCAGCAAAGAAGCAGAAGTGGTCAGAGTGGTAGCAGGTTCCCTGTGCTGGGATAGAGTCACAGAAGTTGGAAATAGAGTTGGCCACCAGTGTGAAATGCCTCAGAGAGGACAAGGAGAATGGCTGGCTGGAAGGCATTGAATCAAATTATCTTTATCTGAACTTCCCTTATCTATGACTTATTATGGTCAACCTGACAGGTGAAATTCAGATTTAGGAACAGATTTGGGACTATCATGTGGTTCATGGAAGCTTGTAAGGCTGTCGTGGCATCAAAGAAGCATCTTTGTTTACACTGCTTTTTGGTCACAGGCTCGGTTAGTCTTCAGTAGCAGTGATTTGTGGTTTGGAACAAAAGTTTAATTCCCTTTCTGAATAAATTCTTGTAGAGCAGTGCTTAGGTTATGGCTCATTATGAAATAAATTTAGTTCCTTCAGTTCCATAAAGGGACTGAGGAGATTCCTTTGTTAGTATATCTAAATACAATGTTCCTAGGGCTGGGCGCAGTGGCTCACGCCTGTAATCCGAGCACTTTGGGAGGCCAAGGCGGGCGGATCTCTTGAGGTTAAGAGTTTGAGACCAACCTGGCCAACATGGTGAAACCTTGTCTCTACTAAAAATATAAACATTAACCAGGCGTGGTGGTGCATGCCTGTAATCCCAGCTACTTGGGAGGCTGAGGCAGGAGAATCACTTGAACCCAGGAGACAGAGGCTGCAGTGAGCCGAGATCACGCCAACTGCACTGCAGCCTGGGCAACAGAGCGAGACTCTGTCTCCAAAAATAAAAAAATAAAATTAAAAAAATAAATAAAATGTTGTCCCAGTTTAAGAATGAAAGCTGTTGTTTATTTTTTAACCTAATTTTTTTTTTTTTTTTAGTTTATTTTTGAGACAGAATCCTTGCTCTTTCACCCAGGCTGGAGTCCAGTGGCTGATCATGGCTCACTGCAACCTCAAGCCTCCCTGGGCTCAAGCAATCCTCTTGCCTCAGCGTCCCAAGTAGCAGAGACTACAGGCATGTGCCACCAGAACCAGCTAATTTTTGTATTTTTTGTAGAGATGGCGTTTTGCTATGTTGCCCAGACTGATCTCAAACACCTGGGCTCAAACAAACCTGGGCTCCTCAAACCTCGGCTTCCCAAAGTGTTGGGATTAGAAGCATGAGCCACTACACCTGGCCCAAAACTTTTAAAAATGAAAAAAAAAAAAAAATTAGACAAAAAAAGAAAAAAAACCTGAGGAAATATGTGAATAAACTATGGACTTTAGTTGGTATATCAGTATCGATTAATTTTAACAAAAAGAAATACACCATACTAATGTAAGATATTAATAATAGGGGAAACTGGCTGGGTGTGGTTGCTCATGCCTGTAATCCCAGCACTTTGGGAGGTTGAGGTGGACAGATTGCTTGAGCCCAGGAGTTTGAGACTGGCCTGGGCAACATGGCAAGACCCCATCTCTACAAAAAGTTACAAATTAGCCCAGTGTGGTGACATGTGCCTGTTTGTAGTCCCAGCTACATGGGAGGCTGAGGTGGGAGAATCAGTCACCTGTGCCTGGGAAGTCGAGGCTGCAGTGAGCCGTGATCGTAACACTGCACTCCAGCTTGGGTGGCAGGAGTAAGACCCTGTCTCAGTAATAACAATAATAATAACAGGGGAAACTGTGTACAAAGGGGAGAAGGATATATCAGAACTCTGCTGTATATGCTCAGTTTTTCTGTAAATCTAAAACTGTTCTAAAAATAAAATTTATTAATTAAAACAATAGAGCTACAGCGAGGTATGCTGGGTGATAGGCAGGAACAGGTAAAAGGATGTGTAACCCACCTGCAGGGGCAGACAGGACTACAAACTTCATAGAGCACTCAGGATACTCCAGATCCAGTTGAGGAAGTAGTGTGGGAACCTGGAGACCACACATCACAGCATGGCAACTCTGCTTTGGAGGACTCTTGTCATGGTAACTTTAGAATTTCAGGGGAACGGGAAAAAGAAGATAGTGAAAAACTGCTCTCAGTGCCTGTGTGACTTAAGTTGTAGCATAGCATGGTAGTTAAGAGTCAGAGTTCCAGGGTTCAAATCCTACCTCTTCCTTTACAAGCAATATGACCTGACCTTGGGGGAACTTACTTAATCTTGTAACTCAGTTATTTTCTGTAAAATAGAGATAATAATGGTACTCGTTTTGAGGATCAGTTTAACTAATATATGTAAACATGCTTAGAACAATGCTTGGTTTGTGGTAAATGCTCAATAAACATTAGTTATTATCAT